TTTTTCTTTTTCTTTTCTTTCCTTTCTGGTGGGTGGGACTGAGGGGGTGTGTCCGGGAGGCAGCTATTGAACTAGGAAGCCGCTGAGCAGGAAGGAGGAAAATCTGCAAACTGGAGCGGTTTTGCCTATCAAACTTCTTGGCAGGTAAGAATTCGCCGGTAAAAACAGCTGTGTGAAGAACATTCTGTGATGGAGGAGGCTGTTTTCCTGTCCCCTCAGTCTGCCTCTAGAAGTCGCGCTTTGTTATTCCGCAGACAATGCCACCTTCTGGTCCCAGCACTGCAAGAGTCACCCCACCCCCAGACGCAAAAGTGAAGGGTTGTGTGATGTTTGCACTGCAGATGGGGAGGCGGGGAGGGGAGGGTCTGAGGCTCAGGCCCTCGGAACATTTCTGTTCTTCAGTTAAATAGCAGTTGACTCTCAAAGCTCCCCCTCCATCCACTTCCCCTTGTCTACATCTTAGTGATCCTGAGACAGCACAAGAAAATACACGCCAAGATCATCCATCACACAAAACATACTGGAAATGAAGTTCTAGAGAATGGAAGCGGGGAGCTAAAGCCCACAGGTGACATCTCTTTCATTTCATAATTACATTCAGACATTTCCTTCCCTAGTTTATTAGCTGTGACTCTGTGTGTGAGTGCGTGTGCATGCAGATATGAGGGCTGTCCGGGAAGTATCCAGCCGTGGACTATGTTCTCGTGTTAACAATGGCCGGGTACTTTCCGGACAGTGCTCGTATACGCATACTCACAAACACAGGGTTTTGTTTTTATCCCCTACATTCTGTAGCTTGCTTTAATCACTCAAAAATACCTCATGGGATCTGGTATAGCTCTAACACAGTCTTTCTAATGGCTGCATAATATTCATGGTTTGGATACCACCCATTATTCAGTCATTTCTCTACTCAGGGACGTTGACTTTTTTGGCTGGGCACGGACAGGGTCCCATTCTGTTGCCCAGGCTGGAGTGCAGAGGCCTGATCATAGCTCACTGCAGACTCAAACTCCTGGGCTTAAAGGATCCTCCTGCCTCAGCCTCCCGAGTAGTTGGGACTACAGGCGTGCATCACCATGCCCGGCTAATTTTTCTTATTTTTTGTAGAGATGGCCTCTCACTGTATTGCCAGGCTGAAAGACATTGACTTTGATTCCAATTTTCCTTCCCACTCCGAATACTGATGCAATAGACAACCATGAGTGTACAAGTTCCTGTTTACTAATGCGTGTATTTCTATGGAATTGACTCTGAGAATCAATTCTGAATTCTGATTCTAGAGGTGAGATGTTTGGGTTGAAAGATCTCATCTCAGCTGAGAGAATGACTGAAGTCTCAGTCTCACTACTCACCTTCCACTTTCAATTCCATTGCTGCCTCCTCTTGGTAAGAATGATCTCGGAAGAAGCAGGTGAAACCTCCTTCATCTGAGAACCTTACACTCCGGATTTTGAGGGTGACCTTTCCCTCACCAATAGTGTCTTTCAGCAGTTCCGTCCGACCTCGATATTCAGGGGCCTGCTCTCCGTCTTGGTCCTTGCCGTTTCGGTAGAGATGAACCACCCTAGAGAAGGGGGGCCGGTACCACCCCACCTCCATGCCTGTGGCATTCTTCCCAGGAGACACACGGCATGGCAGTTCCACTTCCTCTCCCACCAGAGCCCGGATGGGGTGCCTTGGTCCTATCACTCTGAACTGTCCTGTCCAAGACACCAAAGAGAAGAAACCGAGGTTCAGAGGGAGCCTTGACAAACAGGCATGTCATGGGCAGGGCTGCTTCAAAACAGGCAAGGAAAGCAGCACTCCATTTTTAAGTGGAATTCTAGAGCCAGGGAAGGGTACAATCTTTCTTCTTGAGAAAAAAAAAAAAAAGCCTCTGTGAGTGTCTTGAACAGAATGTTCTAGCAATCATCTCATCCCAACAGATACTGCCCATCTTTTTTGCCAACTGTATCCATCTCTGAATCTTCAGTCCAGCCTTCAGGCTCCACCTTGGAAGGTGATCCAGCGCCTCCCCTGGGCCTCCCTGTTTGGACTTGGCCAACTTCGTCCCTATTCTCCTCTTACAGAGTTTGCTGCTGTCACTCCACCCACTCGAACCTCTCTCCACCCCTTCTCCCTCTGTCCTTTGTTCCCCAAATTCTCCTCCGAGATCTTCCACCCTGAAGGTAGCTCTATCTCACTCTGCTTTTCCCTCTGTACCTGCAACCTCACTGCAGCTTCTGGGCCCTGCTCTGAACACGTTCCCGGTCTTTTTCCTACGTGGACGTGTTTTTCAAGCCAGACTCTGAGCTACTAGGAGATAAGGCTGGTTTCTCCCTTAGACCTGGAAATATCTCCCCAGGGAGTGGACGGACCGGCCTCCTCTCCCAGTCAGGTGGCTCCCTGAGGTCAGGAGTCTGTGTTCTGTCTCTTTTATTTCTCCTCTGCGGAAGAGCGCAGGGCTCCTTTATAAAACTCATTGGTGCCTGATTATGCAGAGCAAACTCTCAAACATGACACGATATTATCATTCCACAAACTTTTTCGAGATTTACTATGGACAGGCACTGCTAAGCATGTCATACATCTCATCTCATTTTACCCTGACAACAACTTCAGGAGGTTATTATTTTAAACCCCTTTGAGAGATGAAAAGCCAAAGGTGGAAAGATGGGTAAGC